GCAGCATTGATGGGCATCGCCTCTGTGAAATGTGCCATATTTGCCAGTTTAATTGAAAGAAATTGGAATCCGAAACTGGTGGCTAGACGATATCGAGCCTTGATTGTGGTGTGGTGGACCGAAAATGTCTGCGAATTGGCTCAAATGACCGACTGCCTGTCTGTGCCTCACGACTGGCGCTTGTGACGAGACGACTGTCGCCTGTGACTGATGGTTGAAGACTGTGCCTTCGATGTCTGTGACTGAATACTTTTTCTGTCCGTGACTGATCGTGATCACCGTGTACATACCTGTGACCGACTACTGCTGACCTGTGACTGACCCATGTAGCCTATGAGTACGACTGACCCTAAATGCGCCGCTCTGTTGTCAGGTTATCGGCACGTGAACCTGCTGTCCAACACGGGTGAGCCGCTGGACAACGCCACCCTGTTCGTCCACGTGGCCATCAGCAGCTGCGTCGCCGGCACGGTCAGTTCCTGATCCCACCCACCTCCTGAAAGGAGAGCCTGCTGAGCGTGGATGGAACACCTTTCTAATTGACATATTTAATCCTGAGAGTATCATCGGTGCCATTGAGTTCGTAGTTGACGCACTCGCAAACTCCAATTAGTTACCCCACTACACTCTATCTTGGCTTACTAGAGTCCACACTAGACCGGGATATCGATTTTCTCCGATATTCTCTACTCTTTGTGTCTACCTGCCCCTGTAAGATCCATCGTCTCCCCATTATTTCGCGTGCCGCAGAAGGTTTTCGCAGTATCCTTGGCACGCGAAACGACCATCGGTTCTTCGTTTCGTCGAGTGATTAGTGTCGGTCCCCACTGTGCGATTAGGTACTCTGCCTCCACTCTGACTCCCACCCCACCCCCACACCTCCCACCGCATCTGACCACTGGCCAGTCTACGCAGTCTTTCTTTCAAGTCTACGAAGTCAGTTAGGTACCTGAATAGCCACTAAAGACTGACGTTCATCAGACTTAGCGTATGAGATGCCAAGGAATGTGTCCTGTGAGGATTTAAATCAAAATGACCCGTACTTCATGAATGCATATTCATGATTAACTTTTCAGAAGGGTCAGATTTCGAGGTCGAGTCATAGCAATGGCATCAGTGCCATTGAGCGTAGTGAATTGAACATTGAGAGGAGGAATACCGCCTTTTGAGTTGATAATGACATTTAATTAACGATTTATAAACTCGCATGATATCTCGCATGATTGCATATTCTATTTATGAATCCAATCTCGCTTGGTAGCCAGAGATTTTCGTTTCGTTGACCATCACTGTGTCGATGACCTGCCTGTCATGCCCCAAGTTTTCGTTCGCTAAAACTGTCATTACGAGTGAGTTGTGACCGTCCATTCGGGTCCTCCAAAGGAGCTTAGTGAGGCCTGATCAATTTCAGCAGAATGAATTGGTGTTGAATGAAAAAGCAGATTGGACCGAAAGTGAAATAGCAAAGGCCAAACACCTCGTCCATAATCGATTACGGACTTATAAGGCATCACGGTATAGGTGGTGATGCTTTTTTGACGTACCAAAGTATAATTGTAGAATGATTTTAGGATGAATGTGACTTAGAAACAAAGATTTACTGTCATTGCTGTCCATTGTCGTGTATGAGTATGACACCGTTTATTTCTCTTTCAGAGGCGAAAATCCAGATCTGAGAAGATAAATATGGAAATTAAATCTATCGGGCTGAAAGACGTTGACGAGTTTTTCAAAGTGGTAAGCTATGTCGCAACGCTGTTGAGCTTAATTCCTCCGGCTTTATGATTCTGTTGAAAGTAATTCACATATCTGCAGATGAGAGCCGTGCATCGGAATGCCAAAAACCGTCACCATTCAGCTGAGATTTTCATCAGCGCTGCGGCATTCAGCGGTAGGCAAACAGTCTTGGAGCGCCCGGCGTCTCCGCGTCCCCGTGCGCCCGTCTATAGACGGTGATTTCCATATCGGCCGGGGCTCGCCGCTTTCCATAACTTGATCGCGACGCCGGCCGTGTGGAGCCATACGTGTCAACGGTGCACCGGCCGGCCCCCCGAATTGATACCGCCATTGTAATGGTAATCGCGTGTGCCATCATACCGATAGCGTGTTTGGCGCCCGGCAGGCTGACGGCTGACGGACACATTGGTGACGCTCGGTGTCGCCAGGCTGCCCAAGTGGAATTTGATGATGCATTTTTCAGGCTCCTCTGGTAACCTCCGTATTTGTCACAGGTCTGAATCATCTGTTCACCCGCATCGATCTCTCCTCCCTCGGCACTTAGCTGCCTTGCTAAGTTTCCCTCTCATGGAACCTGGATCCTTCTAGTGCGCACTTAAATTTAACTTTATTAAATTTAATTAATTAATAAGTGTGCACCAATTAACTTGGTGCGCACTTAATTTGTTTTACCTTCTTCCCCACAGAACATAATTTATCCGAAAAATTACCTCCCCCACAGAACCGGTTTCCCCTGCTAACCTCCGTCTCCTCCACAGAGCATGGTTCCTCTGTAACCCCCTGGTTCCCCGTCTCCCCCGCAGAACCTGGTTCTTCTGTAACCCTTTCCCTCCCCCGTCTCCACCGCAGAATCAGGTTCCTCTGTAACCCCCTGGTCCCCCGTCTCCCCCACAGAACCTGGTTCCTCTGGTGGCGCAGGCGATGAAGTGGCGCGCCGACGTCACCGACTCAATGGCTCGACTTCAGTCCGAGTGCGGTCTGGGCGACACGGCCAACATCAAGCAGTGCGTGCGCGTCATCATCCAGCGGCTGGCCAGCGCGCACGACGTCACCGGACTCGTGCTCAGGGAAGAGGATGGGGTGAGTCGGGGTGCTGATGACCGCTGATGTGACAGAAGGGTGATGTGGCGGGGTATGATGGGAATGGTGTGGTCACTGGTGTGACAAGGGGTGATGTGGACAGCAATAATGGGGCTGATGTTGCCGAGATGATGGGGCTGATGTAGCGGCGCTGACATCTCTTGCATTATCTGCAGAAGGATGTCACATTTGGGCTGCCACTCTGAGAGGCATGCTGTGTTGCCAGCGCTGTTCTGTATGAGCCTGTTTGCCCTCTATCCTTGTGTTGAGATCTCCTTGTGTCATGTCGTGTCCATAGCATACACACACCATTCACACGCCTCTCAGCACACATCGCCCCTCTTCTCACTTCTCCCTCCCTCGCGTATGCCCGACAGTTGCCGATGCTGGTGGTGAGCGGCGGCCCGCTGTCTCCACACCTCAGCCGCTCTCTGAGCACCCTCGAGTCAGCGCTGCTCGAGTTCGGTCACATGACCACCGGCTGTGACGACCTGGTCCGACAGCTGCACGCCCAGTTCGCCGTGGTGACCGAGATGTACGAGGGTCTCGGAGACCGCTGTCTGGCCGCCGGGCTCAAGGGAAAGAAGAAGGACAGGGCGCATGAGAATTTCGCCTGGAACGCGCGGGTTATACAGGGTCAGATGGATCTGCTGGAGGCGTGTAGAAGAGACTGCCGGCAGCGGCTACAGCAGGTGGGTATTCTACACCAGCTGCTAGATTTTAGATGAAGCTGTTGATGAATTACATGTTTCCAACTCGGTTGAGTCGGAAGTGAATACACGAGACTTCTTAACTATTCCGTGGTGAGCCACAAATGGAACACAAGTTTCGCTAGGTGGTCATTCCCAGAGTCTCGACGCTTCTAGCTGGTACCATTTTGGGGCACGAAACCAGCCAACTTTTCCTATCGCGCCATTGCGTTTGGTCGCCTGTTCTCGCTGTGATCTGACGCTCGCTTCTGTCGGGTGTCCACAGATGCAGTCCTCCCAGGACATGATAACCAAGTACCTCTCCAAGGACCGGTCTCCGGCCACCCGGGAGCGGCCGCGACTGACGGTGCCGCTGCCACCGGCCGAGCGGGAACCTCCCGTGTGTCACACGCCGCCCACCCCGGCCACCTCGAGCGGCGATCTGCGGCCCAAGAGCATCCTCAAGAAGACCAACTCGAGCGTGGAGCCCAGTCTGGTGGGCGACATGCAGCCGCTGGGGCTGACTGAGGCGCCCGTCAGTCCGCTCTCGCTGAGCCGCGCCTCGGTGACGCCGCCCGACCCGGACACGGCCTTGTGATGGACGTCGGCGCAGCTGGCCCTCGTGTGGCTACTGGCGGGCTCGCGGCCGGCGGCAGAGCGCTGCCAGGGGTGCTGTGAGGCGCAGCTACTCGCCGCGCCGCCTAGTCTCTGTGTGCGAACTCAGGACCCGGCTCTCGCCCGTGAAGGAGCGGAGAGACAGCGAGAAGAGAGAGATGAATCATGAGCAATACCGCGGGTGTCGCGCTCGCTCGCTCGTGCGCGGCGCGCGCGGCGCCGGGGCGCCCGGTGTCGTCAGTAGGTACGTTATTTGTTATCCGCTCGCTGCACTTGTGATTGTTATTATGAATGTGTCGTCGGCGCCCGGGCGCTGCCGAAGACCGGGTGTCGCCTCTGACCAGAATAGTGTCATGTAGCGCGAGCGAGAAGTTAGTCAGACGACGTTGTGCCAGTTACCCCGAATAAAATGTCATGGTATAGAAGATGAATCACGTGTTTCAGCTGTAGTACGAACAAGAGTATGGCATGACAGAATGGCGATAGAAATGAGCCACAGACGGTCCACTACACTATACCGTTATTCCTGACGAATTATAGCATGTTTGGTTTCCTGACTTGTAAGCACCGCACAGGCAGCCCGTTGAGTGAGTTGGCCTGTCCCGTGACAGTCTGTGTTTTGCTGTGCTGTGCCAGATTATTGTAAATTATGTAAAACATTGTAACGTGGTGAGAACATGTTAGGGCCCGTGTAATGAGGCGCTCGACGGCCGAATCGACCCATGTTTTGTGTTGAGTACTGATAAAAACTGTCCTGGGGGACCCATCATAACACCACAACATCTCCAAACATGGTAGGATTAGAGCCCAAGCCTCTGTAAACCACGTCACGAACTAACACGCTAAGAGCTCCCCAGAACGCCACACAACAGTCCATGGTCGCGACAGAACCGTTATATTATCGTATTCACGAACGCGAAGTCTCTCCAAGACCCCGCCAAGTCACGAGTCACCGCGACACACAGAACACTGACGAATAGGTCCAAGACGCCTGCGCTCACTCGCCATAAGCCGCGCTTCTGCCACGTCTTCGGTGGCATTACGAGAAAACGCGCGGAAAGTGAGAATCGAACCCACGACTTGGCGATAACAGCCAACGCCGCCGGCGCTAAGCACTCTCAAGCCACGTAGTCGGGATTTTTCCGGAGAATGACGAAGCCTTCGAGGACTGAGGTGAGGGGTACGTACTCTTCTGTGGCCAGCTCGGCACGCTCTCCATACGCCAGCAGCACGGGTGTGGTGTGGGTCTGGAAACCGGTGATGGTCTTGGGCTTACCGGCCTGTCCCACAACGTCGACCGCCTGGGGGAAGGAGGGACAAGTCGTCAGTCAGCTCAGCAGTCGCCAGGTTTTAGAAAGAGGGACGATTACTTGGCTAATGATGGTGCTTCTACGAATCGAAATTGAGCACATTATGCTGGTGAATGGTGATTCTCTGACATCGATTGATCTCGACGCACTGGACATCCCAAGGTAAGTAAGCGTCAGCATCATCCTACGACTTACGACCCGTAAGATAATGCTTACGCGTGCGGTAATGCCAAGAGTAAATTGAGTCGTGATGCAACTGTGAGCATCGTTTGCTAGAGAGTGGAGCATACGGGTAAATCCCGGTTCACGCTGTTGTGTTGATAAAGGTCAACGCTTGCGTCATAATGCCACAGGCAGAGCGCAAAGTATGACATTTTTCTCGCACGTCGCAGAAGCGTCTGAAAATTCCTTGCGACCAAGGCATCCATATGAAGCATTGCCACACAGTCGTACATCTCGCTCTACTGACCTGACCGACGCGGACAGAGACGGGCAGCGGCTTCAGTTCCTCGTCGAAGGTGACCAGCATCCGCGGCTGCATGGCCGTCGTCAGGCAGAACAGCAGGTAGTGCGACTTGCCCAGGATCACTGCAACAGGAGCCGCAGGACGTCAGTGTTCGCGCAACAGGCAGCGAGGTGTGGGACGTAATGGTAACGGTCGAGATGACAACTCAAGAGTGCATGGAAAGTGATTAAATGTTTCGGTCCAATCATCAATCGGCAATCCGCGTAGTAACACTGCGATAAATAATAGTTTGACAATCATCCTTTGACAATACAATACATTACATGAGATAATTATTCGGCGAAAATGTGCATCCCTTGATCATGGATCGTTACTAAAAAAAAAAAAACAGCCACGAGAGCAAACGACCGATCTACTCAAATCCTGGAGGCCCTCACATTAGAGCGGTGCTGACGTTCGCCATTTCCCAGCCACAGTGGGTCATTCTGCCAGCCACCATCAGCCCAATCCCTTCTCTGTCGTGGCCAAAGTCGCCGCCGCAGCCACTAACGTGCAGTCGTCAGCAGTCGCCCCCGGCAGCAGCTGGCGCGGTGGGCGGTGCGCGGGGGCGGTGGCGGTAGGCGGGGGCGGAGGCGGGGGCGGCCGTCGGGCAGCGGTCGATGGCCGGTGGGAATTTACAGTTTCTCAGAAATTGCCACCACCATCAAAAATAAAAGATATTATTATTCTGCCATAGGAGTGCGGTCGACGTCAGAATTATGTCAGCACTGATACTGCTGCAATCTCGAACGGTCTCCTATTCATGCCGCCTACGCCGCTCCAGTGCAGGGATGACCCCCCCCCCCCCCCACGTTGTGTTGCCACGGCAGCTGTCTCGCTGTCTTCTCCGCCGAGCACAGCAACCGCCGCTGAGAACGACCCTTGTGGTAATACAATCGGGCATAGTAGCGGAAGCATAGCGCACGATCGAGCGTAGCCGAGGAATCGCAACTGAAGGAGCTTCTCCCCAGACAAGCGAAACTTAAGGTCCAGGACGGGCTCAAAGCCGTTGCACTTTGTCATCTATTGCCAGACGATACGGCAATTCTTTGGAAGTGTGTTATGTAACTCTCGGTCACTGTCCAGCCCCTGACTCGGCCCTTGGCCGTGGCTATGACTTTGGCTCTGGTTTCTAACCGAAACGACATTCATTGATCGTCGTTTCTACTCAGCCAAGTTCCACCTCAGCGTTCTGGGTTCTAGTTCTGGCTGGGGATGTAGTTCCTGCTCCGCCCTCCCCGCTATTGTGGGTCCTGACTCCGACTCTGGGTCTAGTCCGGTCCTGGCTTTGGCTGTACCTCAGACTATTCCTATGGTTCCTTCCTTCTGAGTTCTGAGGTTCCACTCTGGTTCCGGCTACCCCCGGCTTTGGTTCTGACCCCATCTCATATCTCGAGTCCGACAGCGGTAGTCTCTGCGTCGGAGCCGTCCGTGTTGCTAACGGGACGCTGCGCTGCGACATTTAGGAAGTTCCGCTCCACGAGAATAGCCCGGCTCCGTCGGCCGTCCCTCGAGTGAATCGATGCCGGCGCGGTAACCCGGCCGAGCGCTCCGAGCGCCCGCTCCGGCGCCAGACGTACTTCCCAGAACAGACGCTCAGCTGAACCCGATTTTAATTTTCATCATGAAAAATTCTGAGAGGTGGTGCGCGAAATAATGAGGGTCGTTCGTTAGAAGGCTATTAGAGTAGGTAGTGCACCCAGACGTTTTGTAAATGAATGTTAATTTGAACGCGTTTACAGCAGGGTGTCGACCCGACACCGCCATTATTCATGGCCCTGACGTGGACTTGGCCGCAGAGCTGGACAGCGTTCAACCACTAGCGGCGTTACATAACATCGTAAATAAATGAGACGGGCTTCTGCTTCAAACGTTTGGCAAACGGTACACTACTGACTCACAAACAAGTTAAACTGACGACCTTACACACTTAGTAATTACCCTAATAACCGACAACAGCTAACAAAACAAGACCCAATGTCAACACCACCGAAAACTTCCTGCACTGCATCAATATTTTTTTTTTACACATGCCACTGGCTTGAACGTCGCCGCTATTCGACGCATGCTTTGTCCCTTTACACACTGCCCGTCGTCCGTAAGGGAACAATATTTACAACTGAAAGGAAGCGAGTTTTACAGCGGCGCTCCCGGGTGAACCAGCGACAAACTTTGGAGATTTGAAACGAACGTAAAAACGTAAGGCGTAAAAACATACGGTGACATCCGCCGCTTCATAAAATCCGTAGGAGCCATCTCATCAGGGGGTATTTGGCCAACGCCGGAAGTTTGCCGAAGTTCGCCGCGCCGTGCCAATCGCAGAAAACACGCGACCCGTGCTGTGACCTTGGGTGGCAATACATGCCTGATGGTAATACCGATAAGGTGGTAAATCAAACCAATGAAAATACTAGTCGTAATATTGCAGACGCATCGATACTTGTCTGCTTGATAATGCCGAACCAGCGGCATAAAACACAGAAATTAATGCGGTGGATCTTCATTCTCAGCCGGACTCTAACGTGCCCCAGGCGAGATTCAACCAACCCACTCCACAAGTCAGACTGTCTCTCTGGCGTCGCTCCCATCCTGTGTTATCGTCCCCCCCCCCCCTCGCCCGCTGCAATCATATCACATGTGACATCACAGCCCAGTACGTCACAGACCACGCCCCAGCGCCGGGCCTCTACCGTGGTTACCGCCACACCCCCAGTTTTGTTTGTACTCGGCACGATTACAGGGACGTTCCCAAAGGTCAACGGATGATCACCTGTCGACATCCTAGTCGGTGCTAGCCCGTATAATCAGCCGGTATACATCACATTTGCGTGTCCCATCCGCCCGTCTTTCCTGAGCCCCACCCACCTTCAATAAAAATCATTCGCCCTTTTCTTTCCTTGCATTCTATCAGCCCTAATCTCTTCCTTCTTTACTTCCTTCTTTACATACATAAGCTTCTTTCGCCCATCCTTCTAACTTACCCACCCGTTCCTACCTCCTCACGCTGCCCCAGTGAATCTTCTACCCAAACACTGCCCTCCTTCACTTTACTCGCTCTTGCTTTCCATATCCTACCAAACTCTCTCTCTCCCCCCCCACACGTTCCCTCCCCGTCCGCGACCCTCTCCCTCCCTCTCCGTCCCCCAACGCCCTCTCACTCACATGACTTGACGTCCAGGAAGGCGGTGAGTGTAGCCATGAGACCTGCCACAGCCACGGGTGACATCAGGGCCCGGTCGCTGTGCCACGGGTTCAGCGTCAGCGTGCCCTTGCCCATGTGCGTCAGACCCTGGGCGATGCGCACCATGAACAGGTTGTTGGGGTCGCGCGCGTGGTACTGGGCCAGCTGCCGCAGAGTCGCCGCCAGCCTGCCGGGAAGAAGGGAGTCATGGTATGAGACACGGCAGTAGTAGGCAAGGGTTAGTCGTTGTAACGCCTTCACGTCAGTTACATGGTAGGTTGTTGTCCCTCCCAATGGGTCGTCCTATTTTAGTCGTTCTAATACCTACACTTCAGGTTATAACCAGACCTATCACATTGATGGTAATGAATCGCTTTGAAATGGAGATCACACAGACACGAACTCGCATCTGGGGTTTACCCCGAAGCTCTAGGGATTCGCGGTAAACCACTGAGTAAGCTTCCAATCTCGACCAGCATTCATTATTCAACTACGTACTACGTTCACGTGGGTACAGTAACAAACTGCTCTACATAAATACCCAGACTACGAAACACTCGTATATTATCCGGGCTTAGGTTGCCGACACCGCCGAGAGAGCTCGTAAGGAGGGCAGCGCTCGGGTAGAGTCCAGAACATAACCGCATCGATCACATAGAGGCCGAGAAGAGCGTATAACGGCCGAGCTCGAGCCGCAGATATAAGGTCAAGAGGTGGCGCCGCCGCTGGCGTGGAATGTCTGCTGCGAACAGGAAAGGTCACCGCCCTCCCGGCGGCTTCGTAAAGCGTCCGCGTGCAGAGACTGAAGACAGGGCTGACCGGCCCCCAGGGGCGGTGTAACACCCCGTTAATATACAGCTTTAGCGCCATTACAGGGTAGCTAAATCGAGCCAAACTGATCGACGATTATTTCCCATAGGAAGGCGTATTATAGATCTGAAGCCCTCAACAAATTAGTGTTGCACGCCACGTGTTCAATATTGCTTTCACCTTCAGCGGACTTGGTAATCAACGACGCTATATCGAGGCTCATAGTTCCATTCATACGTGCCCACCTCGTATGAGCCATTGAGCCGTTTCCAATTATTCTATTTCCAGCGTTCTCTAGTGCATCCACTCAGCAACGGAGCAAACACGGTACTCAAGCGTTCTTGGACAAGCGCCGTGGCGGTTGAACATGCTTTCTATTGTGGCCTATACATCGGCATGCTTTTGGGCAGAAACGTCAAGAATTCGCCCAGCGACTCAGCAGAGCCGGGCGCAGTGCTGAATCTCCAAACATTGCAGAGCTCCATCATTATGCTTATGGAGTGGAAGCCACTACCGCAGCGGAGTATATCGGAGCTCATATATTCAGCCGCGCTAGAAATGTTGGCTCTTGAACAGCTGATGAGAAGAGGCAGCCGTACTTAGCATTTCATTAGCAAAACATTTCAAAAAAAGCTTGCATGCTGAACAGTAAATATCCAACTATGCGGCAGCCATCAATTTTACGCCCGTCCGCAAAATTCACCGACTTCAATTGATCTGAGTGTGATCAATAACCAATGAAATCACCCCGAAACACTTATCAGTCCTAGAAGCCAGTACAGGCAGCTACCTGAACAAATCCCCGTCACTCCGGAGCAGCCAGCCTGTCTGATATGTCGCTGTTCATCAGTCAGTACCGCAAACCTCAGACTTACAGCGAAAGAGCCCCGCAAGCCCTCGAGTTCCAGTGAAGGAGTCAACCCATGTTTATCTCGCCACCAGCGAGTCAGCGGCACTCAATAGCCACTCACTAATCACCGGAACCCTCACCAATCACCACTTACCGAGCGTTGTTGGTGCCGGCACCGACCAGTCCCATGGCGAAGATGGCGTTGTGCGCCACCTCCTGGTCGGCATCGTGTGAGAACTTGCTGAGTGTGTCGAGGATGCTCAGCTTGGGGTTGGAGACAGAGACCAGGCCGAGCGCCAGCGGCACCGCGCGACGGATGCACGGTTCACAGTACCGCAACTGTGGGAGAAGGAAGTGAGTTAGAGTTACCACAATGGCAAATTACGAGAGTTTGGGAAGGAGCTGACTCGAAAATATCAAAAGACCAAGTCACGACACCGACAAGCAAGCAAGCAAGCTGAAGGAAGTTTTGAATTTAAGTGAAGTTCTTCCGTTACCCGGCTTCTAACTAAAGAAAAAAATGTCGCAAAAAAAAACTAATAACTACTTCCTATCAAGAGCACGTCCATCTAACTTTGGCACACCTGAACTATAAAAAGGACCCATTCTTCTTGACCTCATCCTACCCAGCACTGTCGCACCTAGCCCATCACAAATCCATCCGTCCATGATTTTCCTCACCAGGTGTCCAAACATCCTCAGCATCATATCTGAGCCGATATCCTCTCCCATAGCGATCAGCGCCAGGCCAAGCACGGCCACGCTCTGCTGTGAGGAGTGGTCGACCGGTTTGTCTTCCTTCTTCGCCGCCGCAGCACCCTTGTCCTCCTTATCTTTGGCAGAGGCCGAGCCGGACTTTTTGTCGTCCTTCTTGTCGTCTTTTTTGTCGTCGGCCTGGGGAGGAGATGGGGGGGGGGGGGGCAGTCAGAGAGGGGACAAGGTGTCGGCGGGGTCCGGCGACCAGAGACAATGGGCGGGGCGAGATGGATGGGTGGAGAATGTCAGTGGCGGCTCAGCGCGCTGCCCACGATATGGTGACAAAGATGGCGGTTTGGGCCAACTGTAAACGCTGGAGACACAAACTCTGATATATTGTTTGGTAGCGTGAAAGGTGGATCCCAAAATAGCCCATCGCAAACCGCATCATCAGTTATTCCTTTCATTATTTACCGAAGGATTAAATATCTAAAGAAACTCCCACTATCACCGAGCACAATGCCTTCACGGCATAACCATCTACGGGATGAGCGACAAAATATATATTTCATAATACAAAACTATCTAAAACAGAAAAAGGCAGCTATCGCGAAAAAAAACTTGAACACTGAATGGTGTTGCTAGTGAGTGGAACAAACTAAAACTCAATCGCTTTACGTTATTTCTTTTCGGCTTGAAAAATTACCAAATGTCATATTCCGCAACATAGCCTTCGCCCCGATCAACGGCTACCATCTTCCCAAAGCTACTCACCAGAACCCTTTACGCTTTATCTCCCCTTCCCCTCCCCCGCGGCGCCAGTACCCACCTTCTCCGGCTCGTAGTGGTCGGAGCAGATGTGCAGCAGTTTCTGTATCTTCAGTACGTGTCCGGTGCCCGCGTAGGCGCAAACCTCCACCATCGTGGTAGCCATGGATCGGAACGGCTCGTCACACACCTCCAGGGCGCAGGTGATCACCTCCGCGTCCTCCTGCTTACCTGAGGGAAAAGAAGGGGTGAGGTTAGAGGAGATAGGTCTATGTGGAAAGGTCAGAGGGAGTTAGGTCAGAGAAAGGTCAGATCAGATCGGAGGGGTCAGGTAAGGGGCTATGTCAAAGGGGGCTAGAGGATGGAGTCAGAGGGGGTCAGGTCAGGGGTCAGGTCAGAAGGAGTCAGGTTAGAGAGGGTTCAGGCTTCAGGTCAGGGAGCTCAAGTCAGAGCGGGGCTCCGCAACGTATCCCTTCAGCCACAGCAGACAGCAGTGATGCCGAGTCGTGGGAGGACGGGGATACACCGGGGGTGTGGTATTACGTTATTTGAGCGAAATTGTGCTGAAAATACATGTAATTGGGGATTGTTCATGGAACATGATAGGTTGCTGTGCACGTAGTTCAAAGAAGATCTATAATAACCAATGCCAGTCGAAATAATTATCGCACTCTATCGCAATATCAAATTACAAATTGACACTGCTTTCAGTCTATGTACCTTCAAGCCTTGACAGCGCGGCAATTTATTGGCTCCCAAACAGATTCCTGTCGTTTTCATTACAAAATATAATTGCTCAAATGGCCGACGGGCAGCGCCACTACCTCACCACCCCTGATCAGTGCCCATCTCACGGGCTCCCCATTTAGTCTCTGATCCAGCCAACCGCTGAGGGCGGATCGAGGCGGTTCGAACCGGAATGTGCACTCAGCGAACAACACAGCCCGCATCCCAGACGCATTCGGACCATAGACGGACCATAGACGGACCATCAACGGACCACTGTCGGACCATCGATGGACCATCGATGGACCACGGTCGGACCTCCCCTCCCGGAACCTCGTACCACTGATGTTCGATACGTGTCAGCGTCCGACAGACACCGGTCCGATCTCAGCGGATCCGGCGCTCGGGGCGTCCCGGCCGCGTGGGCTCATGGGGCCTTCAGCCCCCGGGGCAATCACACTGAATGGAGCCAGCCGCACTTTGGGTGGTAGCTGAGGCCCGACAAGCACTCCGCAGCCGCGCCAGAGGGTTATTCCAATGCGGAGAATGTTCGCAGTGGTTCTTGGTGGGATTGCAGTGAGTGCTCGAACACCGGATTATTCTGGTCGGGCCGTGCCAGTGTCGGCGTATGGCTGACTTGTGAATGGCTGGTTATTAGGCTGTTGTTAAGCTTCAGCCAGCCAACGCTGGCACGGAGATGGTGAATGCATGTCGGCTGTGTAAGAGTGAAGCCGACCAGGCAAGTCAGCGCCCCAGGCTAGTGAGTGATCATTGACTAACAGCAGTATTTTTGCCAATCCATCTCTACTACTGAATCAAGTTCACGGCATCCACATCAACGTAACCGTCATCCATCATTCTCCACAACTACTTCATATCTCTCCCATTCATAACACACACCCGCGGTACGCATAAGCATCATTCTGCCCTTGACCATGCATCCCTCCTATTCCCCTCGCTTTTCTCTTCCCTCCTCATCCACCCACATCCACACAACTGAACGATGTTGTACACTACGTACCGAGATAGATGAGACCCAGCGCGAGCGGCAGGAACTTGACGAACGCATCCTTGGTGTCACCGGACGAGGTACGGTCCATGATGACCTGCAGGATGGCGGGGGCCACCTCCGGGTTTCCGGAGCCGACGGCAATCATACCGCACGCCAGCGCCGTCACCGCCACCACCTGGGGATGGGGGGAGAAGGGAGGTTAGAGGTGGGAAGGGGCCACTGCAGAGAGGCGGAAGGGAGGTCAGTGTGGGGGGGGGGGAGGGCTGATAACGGGGCTGGCGTATGCTATATTGTCTGCACTCCGTTACATTGCAGCGTGAGCTTACCGCATACACAGCAGCTGCAACTGATAAATGCACAAAATATTTACCAGTATAACGCCTTTTGGGGCGACTAACGGAGCGAGCGAGAGGGTGGGCCTTGCACGTGCGAAATTGCGAGGAGGTACCTCCAACTGACTTGTGCACGGCACCCTACTAACCGGTCTCTAGCGATGTGCCAAATTTGAGCACAATCGGCCCAGCCGTTCTTGAGATCTGGAAGCGGCACCCTGCACGTGCGCACGTGCAAAATGGGTCCCAACTGACTTGTGCACGGCACCATACTAACTGCTCCGTAACCGTGCACCAAATTTGAGCGCAATCGGTCCAGCCGTTCTCGAGATCTGGGAAACGACCCCTGCACGTGCGCACGTGCAGCAGCACCCCAACGCTGGCACTTGGATATGCAGTGCCTAGTGAGTGCCTACCTACATGCCAACTTTCAGCGCAATCGGCCAAGTAGTTACCGAGATATTGCAACAATTACAAAACTGACACCTCTTCGTTTTGCACGTGGCACGTGCATAAGGGGTCACCCACATGCATCGGGAATAGTCCAATACTTGGTAGAAGGAATGAAGCTACCCTACAAAAATTACCGCGTGTAAATCGGTCAAGTGGTTGCTGAGATATAAGCCTCGCAAAAGCGTCCGCACGGCCGGCCGGCCGGCCGGCCGCTCATACTCAGAAATTTCTGTTAATCTAAGGAAAGACTACGCTCGCTTCGCTCGCTCCGTAAACATGCATGACTACACCAGTATAGCGCCTTTTGGGGCGACTAACGGAGCGAGCGAGGGGGTGAGTCTTGCACGTGCGAAATTTCGAGGGGGTACCTCCAACTGATTTGTGCACGGCACCCTACTGACCGGTTTCTAGCGATGTGCCAAATTTGAGCACAATCGGCCCAGCCGTTCTCGAGATCTGGGAGCGGCACCCTGCACGTGCGCACGTGCAAAATGGGTCCCAACTGACTTGTGCACGGCACCCTACTAACTGGTCCCTAACCGTGTACCAAATTTGAGCGCCATCGGCCCAGCCGTTCTCGAAATCTGGAAACGACCCCTGCACGTGCGCACGTGCAGCAGCACCCCAACTCTGGCACATGGATATGCAGTGCCTAGTGGGTGCCTACCTACATGCCAACTTTCAGCGCAATCGGCCAAGTAGTTACCGAGATATTGCAACAATTACAAAACTGACACCTCTTCGTTTTGCACGTGGCACGTGCATAAGGGGTCACCCAAATGCATCGGGAATAGTCCAATACTTGGTAGAAGGAATGAAGCTACCCTACAAAAATTACCGCATGTAAATCGGTCAAGTGGTTGCTGAGATATAAGCCTCGCAAAAGCGTCCGCACGGCCGGCCGGCCGCTTATACTCAGAAATTTCCGTTAATTACGGAGCGAGCGAAGCGAGCGGAGTCTTACGTATAATAACGGAAATTTCTGAGTATGAGCGGCCGGCCGGCCGGCCGGCCGGCCGTGGTCACGATTCTGCGACGCTTATATCTCAGCAACCACTTGACCGATTTACATGCGGTAATTTTTATAGGGTAGCTTCATTCCTTCTACCAAGTATTGGACTATTCCCGATGCATGTGGGTGACCCCTTATGCACGTGCCACGTGCAAAACGAAGAGGTGTCCGTTTTGTAATTGTTGCAATATCTCGGTAACTACTTGGCCGATTGTGCTGAAAGTTGGCATGTAGGTAGGCACCCACTAGGCACTGCATATCCATGTGCCAGAGTTGGGGTGCTGCTGCACGTGCGCACGTGCAGGGGTCGTTTCCAGATCTCGAGAACGGCTCGACCGATTGCGCTCAAATTTGGTACACAGTTAGGGACCGGTTAGTAGGATGCCGTGCAAAAGTCAGTTGGGACCCATTTTGCACGTGCGCACGTGCAGGGTGCCGCTTCCAGATCTCGAGAACGACTGGGCCGATTGTGCCCAAATTTGGCACGTCGCTAGAGACCGGTTAGTAGGGTGCCGTGCACAAGTCAGTTGGAGGTACCCCCTCGCAATTTCGTACGTGCAAGGCCCACCCTCTCGCTCGCTCCGTTAGTCGCCCCAAAAGGCGTTATACTGGTCTAAGGAAAGACTACGCTCGCTTCGCTAGCTCCGTAATCAGATACTTGCTTACCAAGAAAAACGAAAAATCAGCACATCAAAAGCACGCAATTTTAAAACAACTTTACTTTGATATCCACGGCACTAGAGCTACAGCAGCATGATAAACTTGTAAACAGGGTGAATTTCACTCCAAAGCAAACCCGAGTCGGCCACCGCAGATCTCCGCAGTTATCTGTTTGTTTCGTATCACATCAGCAGCCTGAGTTTTGCCGCATCACAAGCTGCATCCAGTTACGGACAAAAACATCATTGATATACATACGACACGGACTCAAGAACACAAACTTACATCAGAAATCGCACAATCAGACCACTGCACAAACTGAATCAATCTTGGAGCGTCGCGCGGAGCGCTAGAGCAAGAAGTAATGTGACGAGGAAAGTCACAGGCTTGGAACGACAGATAACAACGTTGATGTTGAGAGGAGCAGAGGAAATGAAATACGCACAAAAACTGAGTCAAAAGGATGAGAATTGCGCGCTTTGTGTCTTGTGATATACCTGACTAGTACTCACAAGCCTAAAGCTGGACTTCTTTATTACATGAACGACTCAAGCTGGTGCAGCGAAATCCATTCAGACCGCCACCTTGCATCTCAATGAAATATGCAGACAGCTCACCTCTCAGCAGCTCAAGCATGCTGTTCTCATGAAAAAAACTTGAGATTTTGCTGAATTAAGTATGCAAGACTCTCAACAGCAGCGAGATGCACTTGACAATGTCCTATCGCAGCCCAGTTTACCGTGTTCATATCTAAACTCTGCGGGGAAATTGCATTTCCCATTAAAGCGCTGCCAGCCTCGGCAACAATATATCGTCTGCATAAATTGCTAGCGTGGCGTGCAAGTGAAGAGAATCCGCGGATAGAGGAGGGCTTAGACCACCAGTCTCCTTGGGTTGAGCTCAGTGATAAAATAGCTACCATCGATTGTGCTCCGAACCTCCCCACATCCCCCGCTCATCGCTTTCAGTAGCTACAGTTTACAGGACACGGTGATAGCGGCATTGGAAACCGGGTCGACAGCCAATGCCATTACTTCTATCCGATTATTGGGAGCGCTGCTCACCGAGCCATCTAGATTAGCCCCGCACAGCGTGGGTGAGGGCGCCGAGCGGTCGACAACAAACAGTCACCAGTCAAGACATCCTCCCAATGGCGGTGCCCATAAACAACAGGATGCAATATCGGCGGCCACTTGAGCTGCGTCCAGTGCCACATCTATTGGGTGATAGGACCCGCCTGTGGTCACTGTAATACCGCCGCCGACCGACATAAAACAAGCCCAGTCAATGGAATCGATCACCGCTATCGCTCCAGCAACAAAGCCTCGTCTGACGACCAATACGCTGTAGCTGGAAGCGTGACCGATAGACAGCACTCTTGATAAGAAATGCTCACATTTTCATGGACAGGACGCGGCCTAACAACGCCCTAAATGTGTTCAGACGACATGAATTGACCTATCGTAACAATGTGTCGTGGTCTGGCCTGTCGCCGCTATCGTAACCTGTCTCACCTCCTTGTTTGACTTGGGGTCCTGCATGGCGGGCAGCAGGTTGCTGAGGACATCCTCTCGGTTGGTGCCGCCGTAGGCGATACCCAGACCTGACGGAGGAGAGACGATGAGTCAGGGTACAAACTTGGAGAAGACATAATTACGGGGAAAGGGGCAGATTTAGAGAACACACTGAGGGAGAGCGCTAGAGCGGCGAGTGGGGAACGAACCCAGTGGCATTATCGACAGACAATACATAGCGCAGGCCCGCGGGTGTCATCGGATCTCCGGTTTCAACATTGCATCCGTTCCATAAATCGAGCGCGATGACTATACGGGGACCATGAACTGAAATGAGATGGCTATTTTGAGCTCTCGGCGGGCGCGGAAGCCCGGCCGGACGCTGGGCCCGCTGTTGTTATTGCTCGCAGAGACTCCGGCAGGCCGGTGGCAGCCGTCGCCAGCTGCGCGGCCGCACTTCGCAGAATAATAACAGCGTTTACCGAGCGGATGGAAATACGACCGCGCCCTAAATTAAACTCGGCGACATCAAATGCGACGCAATAAAGAAAATGAGTTTGTACCCGAGATGGGATGGAAAAAGCGACGAGTAAATACAACAAAGGCAACTGCGCTTGTACGGAGGCGCATCTGACGTTTGATGTGACGAAATTGGATTGCGACGTAAAATGGTTACGACATTACACATTTCGCAAGTTAAACGCGCAACCAAGTAGATTTTCAGTCCGATAGGCTTCTCCTAGGACCAGGAAGGGAACCAATATTCCCGGCAACGGCATAGCTAGGGATGCGTGGAGGGTCAACTACCTATACCTATCTGAACGTGATGCTGGCGACCTCTGCTCTTCAGTTGACAGCCGGAAGGCTTCTACTGCTGGACGAAACACAAAGCATCCTGCAGAAGGCAGTATTGGGCGCCATATATTTTACTCACCCAGTATGGATCCCACCCTAATAAGGTTGTTCTGGTGCAGCAGGAAGTTCAGGTTCTTCAACACTCACCCAGTATGGATCCCACCCGGATGAGGTTGTTCTGGTGCAGCAGGTAGTTCAGGCTAGTCTAGCCCGCCACTCCCCAGTATGGATCCCACCCTGATGAGGTTGTTCTGGTGCAGGTAGTTCAGGCCAGTCTAGCCGGCCACTCACCCAATATGGATCCCACCCTGATGAGGTTGTTCTGGTGCAGCAGGAGGTTCAGGTTGTTCCGCCACTCACCCAGTATGGATCCCACTCTGATGAGGTTGTTCTGGTGCAGCAGGTAGTCAGAGAGCAGAGCCAGCGCCGGGTCGCACTCGTTCCGCACTCCCGAGTTGACGATACCGCAGGCCAGCAGCGCGCCGGCCTTGATGAAGTCTTCGTTTGAGTAGAGGTACTTGTCGATCTGTGTGAGACCACCGTCCACGTCCCATAGCAGCACCAGGCCGAATGACGCCATGGCGCTCATCATACCTGGGGAAAAGGGAGGGAGAGATCGGGTCACACACGTGTCGGTTGTTAGTTATGGGGTATAAATGGGGACCGCAACACCACGGACGACTTATCCGGAATCGGGCATTCGCCGACAGGCGCCAGAGGTCAGGACCAGCTGCGCACCATCCGTCGCATAACGTGGAATCGGCCATAGAAATACACGGACTCAAAAGATTAAGTGAATCCACTCAAAAATCAAGCCGGGGTAATGCAAGCGACCATCTGTCAAAAACAGTTCTTACCATGCTCCTTGTTCTTGTAGAGCCACTTGTTGCCGTCGTCCGTCATCAGCTTGTCCTTGCCGAAACCGGCGTTGACCAGGCCGTTGACGAAGCTGGATGCGAGGTTCTGACGCGCCGAGTCCACGTTGGCTCCAAACGAGGGCCGCGCGTTATCCAGGTGTGATTTGTAAATGTCCTCCGGCGTCTTGGGCTCCATAATGTCCAGCTGTGGTCAAAGAAGCTTGAGTGAGGCGGGATTCCAGAGGTACAACAATGACCCGAACAAAACACAAAACGTAGCTTAAACATTTTGTTGAGAGGGAAACATAAAAAGCAAAATATCCTATTATTTATGCGGCTGTGAAACTTTCTCCAAACGCCTTTGCACCCGACATGGAAAACCGCTTCGGCGACTCAATTATAAGTTACTATAGTTCGTTTTTTTCTAAGTTCGACCCTCACTGTAATCGTCTCTTTGAACAAAGCACGAGAATTGTTAGCTGAATTACTGAGAAAACTGACTGACGCACATTGATTTCACAGACGATTAATTTCCTTCAAAAGTATTTCTTCCTGAGCCCTGTTCGGGTCCGCGCAAAATATTTTGCTGAGTGTGAAGTCACACATGCGATGATGTCAGCCGCCTGGCTCCGCCCATGCTCCGCCCCCTCTCCACCGGCCCGCAAAGCCGAGGGCCACGCGACACGCGGCGAACCGTGGCGCGGATGGACTGGTGTGTTTCGTTCAATTACTGAGTAAAATGCGTTCAAATGTGGTTAATAGCAATGTGCCACTGAAAAGAAAGATAATGATACCAAAATAACATCATACTAACCACTTACAATAAGAAATATATGAGGGTAAACTTTAATCCGCGCCACTTTCGCCTCCTGCAGCTACTATTTTCTTCTTGCGCAAAACTGAAAGATTTTGCGCGAGCCTACGTCACACGTGTGACGTCATACGCCGAAGGGCGGAGCTTGGCACCCGAGAGACCTCAACTGCGCATGCGTGGTGCAAAATTTTGCAATAGGATGCGCTGCCCGAACAGGGCTCTGGCTCTTATTTCCCAGACTCCTAGCTCGTATTTGCCTATATTTACAACCCCACAGGGAAAGACGACTTGTCAGAAATTATAATTGAACTAGTCAATAAATCGTACGGTGTTTACAGAAGGGTATATTATCGGCGTTAAAAACTTATTAAATCTTATAAAATCCACTATGACGGTCCCTCAGTTCTACAGCGTTTACCTCTCGCGCCAGAGACAGGAAGTTTGTGTTCAGGTCGGTGTTGTTGATGATTTCCACCAGGTCACCGTACTCGTCCTCATTGAGGTCCACGAACACACCCTGACGGGCCAGCATGTACGCCAGCTGCTTCTGGAGCGACCTGAGAACATAGTACCAGGGCATTAGCTATTTAGGGTTTACGAGAGCGTCGACTAAGAGGCCTTTGTGTAAGAATAATCGGACACATAATAATCGACTAGAAATGTTGCCAACGCCAGACATTTCAGATCACCGATATTGACTGGTGACTATAAACTGGATTACCGCCAGTTTTACCGATGATGAGCCAGTGATTTCACAAGTTGCTCGCAATTTCGTTCCTTCTGTAGCAACGTATCTATATTCTGACACTCTGTGGTCACCAGAGACTGACGCCCTGACCGCAGAGACCGGTCCACCGTCACTCACTTGTCCTTGCAGTCGAAGAAGATCTCCTGAATGAGCGCCTGATCCTGCAGCTGCATAGCGATGCGCAGTGCCTGCGGGTACTGCTCGAACTTGCGGAACAGCTGCAGGGCCACGTGCAGCTGCCGCGTGTTCTCCGGGTCCGGCACGTACGGCACGCAGCTGCCGGGACGGGGAGCGAGTCAAAGACCGACACAGATTGACGGGGACGGAGCGAAATTGAGGTCAACGCACATATGACGGGGGCGAGTCATGAGGCCGACAGGCAGCTGAATAACACGACACAATTCATTCATGTGTCAACGAAGAGCTTCGTCACGAAGTCAAGGAAGAACTTCACCTCTTTCGGCTTATAAAATGCTACCTTAATAATTTGCTCTGACAATATACCGAGCCCGCACCTGGTAAGGTAGAGGCAGACCCGCTGGTACGTGTCCTTGCTGACGTGCTGTTCCAGCAGGTCCAGCCTCTCAATCTCCATCAGCAGATCGCACGCCTCCGCCTCGGCGTTGTGTTCCATCAGGTAGGCCACCAGCTGGGCGGAGAGTTTGACCAGCCGGGCGCGGCGCCGCTCGGTGGCCTCCTCGTCCGTGCCCTCAGCGGGGTCGGCCGGCTCGGCCCACTCGGCGGCTATGTCGCCGGCCAGGTGCCTGGGGATGTGGCAGAACAGGGAGGTCAGGGACTGCCACTACCACACTTCACAGCCTGACCAGCCGTGTCACCAACCAGGTGCCTGCAGGTGTCACAGAACAGGGAGGTGTCAGAGGCTGGTGTCTGAAGATGTCGCAAAACAGGGAGGTCGGAGGCTGACACTAACCGGAGGGAAGGGGACACCGGCAAGGTGCCTGAAGGTGTCACAGAACAGAAAGGTCAGAGGATGGTACGGATAAGCGTGGGTATTGGGTAACCAATCAGTGTATTGCACAGTGCACAGTGCAAATGTATAAGTCGGGAACCTAATTATAACAGCTGCATTATAGCTGTAGTGACAAACACTCGTAGCGAATATGATGAATGGCAATAGGTAACGTTATTGCAAGGAGATTAACATGCAGCATGAGGTGCCTATCCCGCAGCTTCTACCTCAATCCATTCGTTTATCGATAGCTCACCGGACATATTCGTGGCCCCAGTCACCGATGTCGTTACTGTAGCCGAGCAGCTTATACTTGAGGCACTCGCGTTTGTCCGACATGGTCATGGCCAGGACGGAGACGACGTCGGCGCAGGTGCCCTTCACCTTGGCGTCTGTGAGGTTAGCCTGGATCTGCTTCATCGTCTCAAAGTGCGGCCGCATAAACTGCAGTGGAGATCATTGGTTAGAATGGTGTATGATGATAGATAAATAGAGGCGAAAGATACATGGGAAACACCATCACAGGCAAGTAAAAAAGACTTGAAAATACCTAAAAGTCATACCAATGTGATAATTTAAGCTCATAAGAATCTATTGTCGTGACTATAATAGTGTTACGAGCTGCTGACTGTGCTGATAGACCTTGGGGATGGCATTATCTCTTCAGACTCCTCCCTACCTTCAAAGGTTTGGGCACTGATGTCATTGAAGTAGTCGAGGCTCGAATCATTGTTCTCATCGACTCCAGTGCTGGCAAATATAGTGAAGTATCATTCTCCTGCGGGAAGAAAATCGGATGTCAGCCAGAGCAAACAAGAACAAGTGAGTCAATTTTAATAACATTTCTGAGACCATATGACTGAAAACAAACATTTTAAATGACACGGCCAGTGTTGCAACTTAGCTGTCCTTTCAGGGCTTAACTTTCACGACTGCTCATAAAAAACGCAGAAAATGCACAATATAAGAAATAGTCATGGCCATTTTCAGTGACGCACCTGAAGCCTCTCGACCAGCATCGTCAGCTCTTCCTGTAGCTGCTTGTCCTCCTCAGACTGCAAAGAAAACAGAAGACATCGTAAAATTCACGCCAAACCAGATCTCAGTCCGACTCGTGGCTCAGTTGGTAGAGCATCGGACTCCCTCCCGGTGCGTGGTGAGGGCCCGGGTTGGGCTCACTCCGGCATCCAATTCTTGCGACTCCGGACATGTCGACACCTTTTTTTTAAACCCCACATTTGTTCTCCGGTGAATTTCAGACAAGTTGGTTAGAGACCTTCAAAAAAGGTACAATCACTCGATTTTTCTCAAGTTTGTCTGTCTTGGCAGATAAAGCAATACCAGAACAGGCCTACGAACACACATATTTGATCAGGATCGGACGATTGGACACTTTTAAAAGGAGATCTTTCGTGCCTCCCGGAAATTCACGGGAGAGCAGATGTGGGGTTAAAAAAAAAGGTGTCGATGTATGGTCAGCGATTGGTGGATGCGGCTGCGATCAATTAAAGTCAAAGCGTGGCACAGAACGTTTCTTGCCTTCATGAGCTAGAAACACATGCGAATACTCCCAATTACCCGGAACCGCCCAAATGGACAGTGGGAGTCAGGGCCTCCGCAACAAACTCTGCTTAGCGTGAGCTCAGGCTCTATGAATACAGTCATTAAAACATTCGGCTAAATTTATGAAAAAAAATGTGAGCTTGACAAAAGATGTTTCGTGTATGTGGATGTCAGTGAAAGGGCATACTGTTCAGCAAAAAATAACCGTCAAAAAACCACCGGGTGTGAGCGTGTTGATGATTGTGAATACTTCAGCCAATGGTATCACAGTCTGTATGTCCTTGTGCGGTTGCGTTGTGATACGTTGCGTGTTGTGCTCTCGGTGTGCCTGTGTCGAGACGACCCCCGGCGCGGGCTGCCTGGGTGCGCCCGTGCGAAGCCCGGGGCGGTGCATGACCCGATACGGAGTCGGCCGCGCGGCGCGGGGTCAGTAAGCCGGGTGGCTGTGCGGGATGGGGGGGGGGGGGGCGGGGCGGGCCACTCAGTCGGGGAAGTGGTGCCATGAGGTGGTGGAACGCTGTCGAGACGGGTATATCGCGGAACTGAGGTGATCTAGGTAATGCGCGATCTACTTCTGCGACAAAAGTGTGTCAAGTTACTGCATCGATATGTGCTTGTAAGTCCTGGCAACCACGACTGCAAGCTGATTCGATATTTAACTAATTCTGGTCTGCATTCTTCGTTTTCCGTTAGCGTAACAAGTCTAGATCTATCGATAATTATCGGTGCAACGTAATCGATCGTGGACATATGATGTTCACCTTCGCGTTGTGCCGTTCACTTATAGTTTTCAGCTCATTTGGCTGCGAGCATAGATATCTTATACAGATTTCCTCGGCTGCGATCACCAAGATCTTATACATATTTTTACTACGATGCGTTTCGACGTCCAGACGGGCTCCAGAATATGAAGAACTCTGCCGATGTTTTTTAGCAGTTCACGGAAGCAAAGATACTCTGCTCTCGTAAACTAGCCGAGCCGAGAGATCGCTACACCGGAATATTACCAACGACCGGAGAATAGCAAAGATGAATTTTGGGTCCGCCGGGACGGTCTACCAGTCTCCCTCACTATGAAGCGTTCGGTTTCATAGAGGTCCAGCGCCAAGAACATATTTGGAACGTGTTCTCGATGCCCTCGAGCAGTGCAGGACCCGGCTTTTGGTAGTGTCAGATCGTCTATTTGTGGCGAAACAGACGTCTGATCCGATTCGACGGAGAACAGTTTGATATGAGAATTAAACATCGAGCTATCTTCCAGCTATTGTTTTTAATCGGGTTGGACACATGTAATCTTGCGTGGAGGCTTGGAAGAAATAGTGTGTTCCCCGCCAGCAGCATTTATCGCTACCTCGCGACATAATACATTCGACCTGCTGAACGATCGCCTGGACTGAGGGAACAATTGAAGAGACACTGATTGTTGTCGATACCATTAACGACACCCGTGTAGGCCTGCCGGCGAACTTCTGATGCACAAAGAAAGCAAAAGATTGCTGCTTAAAATAATAAATCACAACTGGAATTGACAGAGCTGTTATCCAAAGGTTCTTTAAGAGGTAGACAGCATCCCTGTTACTTCAAAGATATAGGCTGGCACCAGCAGCATTTGACAAAGCTGGCAATGCAATGTTTCTCCAAAACTACAGTCAAAGGCCATGACTAACTTTCAGCACAATGCCTGTTATTGTAGCCACCAACTTCAAGAAATGTCATATCCTGCATCCCCTTGCTTATGGGATCTGACTGTGAGTGCCCCAGCTGTGACAACTGCAGCATCTAGGCGTCTACTAGCTGATAGCTCATCCTGAATGTCTGCTGAATGCTGATCTTCATCAGCCCAATGGCTCATCAGTTTTCTTTTCCAGAAGCTTAGAAAGCAAGAATGACACCTTAGGCCAACACAATGAAATAAGAGACTGAATGCAGCCCCAAAATGACCAGATTGATTAAGTCATTGGTGAATTGTGGCTTTTCAGTAACAGAAGTCTGATGGGGCAGAATCTGCCCAATCAGAATTTGGTGTTGTATTTCATGCAACAGAATGAGAATAGACAAGCTGCTCAATCAAGGCTGATTTGCAGGCTACCAAAGTGAGATGGCTTGCAGCTCAGGCAGAAGCCTGGAACATGTACCTCTATATGACCTGGCTGAGTAGCATTACTTGGTACTTGGTAGTACCTACCTATCTGTGCTTTGTTAGAGTAGACACTGGTCTTCTGGTCAAAGGTCACCCTTTGGTTGGCACTGATGTAAGATCATACTGATACATTCTACAAATTGCACACTATGAAGCATGACTAAATGCTGCAAAAATCTAAGCATTGTCTGCAACAAGGAGAACAGCTAATACCCACAACTAAACAACTGCAGTTTGGTCAAATGCTTATTGTTATGTACATGGGCTATTCACATGCAAAACAATCAGCCAGGGTACCTATAACTAACTATGCAAATTAATACAAACTGAAACCTTTGGGCAGTAGGGCTTACAAGTTGCAGGGCAGCATCAGCATTGAAATGCAAGTTGTTCTAATTGTCCTTACCAGTTCCTCCTGTTCCTTTGATGCCTTATCCTTCTTCTCCTTTCCTTGTGTTTGGTCTTCTTTCTTTGGATCATGCTTTGATTCATTCTTAGTTTGCTTGGCATTTTGACTCTGATTCGTCATTTTGATATTACGAAGGCAGTTAAGTATACAGAAGCACTGCAATTATTTCCCTCTTGCGACTGTGAAATTCAGGTTCATTGCGTCAAATTAAGCTGGCAGGGTAAAAGCTATGATTTTACCAAATGAAAGTAAAAGAGATGAATTTCAGTTCAATGTATAATAATTCATAGCAAAATAACTAAAAACTGAGGCCGCAAATTGATATCTTTATACCGCAATCACACAAAGCAAAAGATGACAAGCAGCAATTAGCAAGATCCGAGTGTACGTAACTTGTCATGACAACAAACCCACATAGATTAATGCAGTTCAGGGTGCAAACATTTCAAAATTAATTAGAAAAACGCTAAAAACAAACGACGCCTCCCGCAAAAGATGACAAGCAACAAAGTGAATGTGTATGCGCAGCATTTGTCGACGCACCCGGCTTCTGGAAACAGCTGACTGCTGAGTGACTGCTTCGAATTTCTATTATAAGTCTACTTTAACGATGTATTAAACATAAATCAATTTTCAGAATAATTTTTAATGTTTTAAGTGTATCTTCAAAACAATTAGCAGAAGAATTCCAAACAGTTTGCCCGGAAAATTAAAGATTTGCTACCATCAGCTGACTAACGCTTGTTCGAATGGTTTGCGCGATGGAGCAGCCCAAATTGTATACAAACTAGTGTGACATTTTCTGCGCCTTTTCTACATTAGTGGTTTGAATATCGCTTTGTGTATTTTGTGCATCCGTTGTATAAATATTGGGGATAAGGGTTTCAGCCCGCTATTTTTCCATTTTTCGGAGAAGATATTTGTCATACTGCTCTTTCCAGGATTGGAAGTCATCCGCCATTGTCTTTTTGCAAGAAAGGAGTTCAACTGTCATAGTTGAGTTCAGTTTTCCAATACCTATTGAACTCAAACTACTGTACCATGGATCCATAGAATTCACAAAAGATATATGTCGAAAACTGAAATTTCTAGATCAAGATGTGTTGCCAGGAGTTCTGTCAGTACATGTAAATTGAAATAAGTGTCTCTAAAAAGAAAATGGCTAGAGATTATGGAGGAAGTGGCTCTGGGGGATTGATGGATGAAATTCAAGCACTCATTGCACCTCCAGGTGATGAAAAGAGAAAGAGAGAAGGACTTGACTTGCACCCATATTTTCGAAGACCAGGAAAGGGCCACAACAATGACAGATGTGATGCATGTGGTGAAGGAGGTGACCTGCTTTGTTGTGATCGCTGTCCGGCATCATTTCATTTGGGCTGTCATGACCCACCTATTCCAGAGGAGGACATACCATCAGGAGATTGGATCTGTCATAATTGTAAGGCCACTGAAGCTCTGAAACTTGGAGCATCCCATAGCACTGATTGGCAGCAGGAGACAAACGCTGATGACCCAGCATGTGCTGATATCATAGCTGTCCGCTCTCCGCTGCAGCACCTCATTCAAGCAGCCTCCCTCCTCAACCCCAGACAATTTGAACTGCCCCCAGATATGGCTGTAAATGATCTGCTTCCTGGTGAAACAAAGATCAACCCCAAGGGGAGCAGAAAAAGGCCACATGAGTTGGACAATGGCCTTGTCCCTCTCCCTGCTAAGCTGTGCTTCAAATGTGGGAAAAGCTGCCGAACTGCTCCACTAATGGCCTGTGACTACTGTCCCTCATGTTTCCATATGGATTGCTTGGATCCACCCATGACAACAATGCCAACAGGAAGTGTGTGGATGTGTCCACTTCATGTGGAAAACTTTCTGGACTCTGAAATGTTGAAAACGCCCAGGCTGACGGAGCGACTCAAGCTATGGAACCGCTTTCAAGGTCCGCTTGACCAGGATGTTATCAAGGCTCAGTTCTTCAGGAAAGTTCACAGAAGGCATCCTCCTTTCAAGTACAAAATGAAGATAGAGAATACTAATCTAGTGGATGTTCCTGAAGGTGTCAAGAGCCACTATAAAAATCCACTGCCTAAACCACAAATGGCAGACAAAGACACATTGGTGGTACCTCCCCAAGGGTCTGAGGCCACAGAGGAGGAGCAGGAACTTTGGCTCAAAAGCATTCTCAGTCTGCAGCTGGGCTCCAGTGAGTACCTCGAGCAGCAGAAGTGCACAGCAGCTGACCATCCAGTGAAGCAGGAGTCAGAGTGTGCCTCTGAGTCTGCCAGTGACTCCCTCCCCAACTCAGGAGATGTGCAACATTCGGGGCTGGACGGGTCGCACCATGCAGCCACTAATGGTGACCTGGACGGCCGGGTGAAGAAGCACTGCCCCAAGAAGTTCGATAAGATGATGGACGTGAAGCGGTCGCGCACGGACACGATTCTGAAGGCGTGTCTGATGGACGGTGTGCGGCAGGAGCGGCGGCCACTGGTGGATGACTCTGCCGAGCTGCGCCAGCTGCGAGCCCAGCTGCAGTCGGCCGGCTCGATGGACCTCAGCCTGCTGGACGAGCGGCTGGTGCAGCTGCTGGCCGTGCAGCGGCTCACGCAGCTGCTCGGGCCGCACGCCGCCGGAAAGCTGGCCCCGCGGGCGCCGCTCGACCCGGTCCGCAGCGCCGCGTCGGCAGTGGCCCCGCGGGCCACGCTCACCCCGCTGAACGGGATCGGCGGCACGGAGCTGGTGCGATACCGGTCACTGTCGGTGGGCAGCGGCGCCGACAACGACCTCAACCTGGACCGGCACGGCTACTGCGCCTACGTCTCCGGTCAGCACGCCACCATCTTCTTCGACGACACGGCGCGCCGGTTCGAGCTGCTCAACTACAGCGAGCACGGGACGGTGGTGGAGGGCGTGCTGTACGGCTGCAATTTCTCCGCGCGCACTGTGGCCGGCGTGGAGGAGTCCGCAGTCGAGGCCACGGTGCACGCCATAGCCGAGAAGCGACGGGAGGCCAGACGTGCCGCGTCTGATAACTCCTCTCCCGCTGTGCCATCGAAAGACGCCACGATGAGCAAGCGGGCGTGCCTGGAGCGGCGCCGCTGTCGGTGCGTGTGCCCCGCGGCGGGACCGGCCGACGGACCGCGGCGTGGCTTTGAGAGCTCGGTGCTGCTCCACCACGGCTGCCACCTGCAGTTCGGGTGTCTTCGTTTCGTGTTCGCTGAGACGGGTGTGCGCCGCCGCCAGGATAGTGTCGTGGAGGCGCTGCTGGCGCGCGCGCGGCAGCGAGACGCGGAGGAGGTGCGCTCGTAACCGCTGGTGACGCCGGCTGGTGACTGACTGGTGCTGAGCGCTGGTGCCGAGCGATGCCGGACTCTGTAAAGGACTATTGGACGCGAGTGGCCATGGTGTGGTTCACAAGTGCTGGTCGGTTTACTGCACAGTCCTGCTCCACACCGGTGGGAACTTCGCAAAGTGTATCTGATGAGTCTGATTTCAGAGTATTCAATGAGTGGTCTGTTATTTAATAGTCTGGTGACACCCATCTGACTCGAGTTTATCCGTTGTGCGCCAGATCGGCGGTCGCATGACTGTAGGGTGTAGAAGGCTGACTTTTGGACTGTAGGTATAGTTTCACCTGGTGGCCGACCGCTGCTCCACTGCCTGCCTGCGTGGGGGCGGTAGTATGCCGTCAACTTTGGGAGACACCACGCCGGTAACTGAGCTCAGTGCTGCCGGTTCAGTCAGGCTGAAATGGTAGACAATATTTTTCTTAGATATGAGATAGCTTGCACTTCACATGTCAGCGTTTCACCATCGAATGTGTCATCTGGTCTGTCACGATGTGTGTAGAGTAGTAGAGAGCCCTAGTGAGTTGACATGGTGCTCACGATTCATGTCGATGCTTGTAAAGCTAGCCATTGGCGCAGCGTGGCGAACGGCAAGTGTACAAATCAGCAGTTGGAGTCAACCAACGAACATTGTTGCATAAACCAGTGGAGATGCACGACTTCTCAAGTATCTACGTAATCACATTGTTCATTGGTGAGCTGCCGGATTTAGTCCGGTTCGGAGAGCGATGGAGTAGTGAGCAGTCTCACTTTGTGTCGTGGTGGCTTGTTTATTTAATTGTAAGCGTCTCCCTGCTGTTCATCATTTCGCCATCCTGTTGTGATGTGTTGTATGTGCGTGCACGTCTCATTGCTTTTTCTCACAACACTTCATCTCGTGGGGTACCAATGTCGAAGTTGAATACATCGTTTTAGTTCACCATATATGCGGCCTTGCGCCCGTGGCTGTGCTCTCTCGTCCGACTCCCATGAACGACTTGTAGTTATGACTTATGGCAAACTCTATGCCTACATGGAACACGACTAGGTAAACATGAAGTAAAGTAGTTGCCTATCGTGCTATTAGCGGAGACTTATTTATCATGGGTATATCCTTCGTTTTGGTCATCTCTTAGCACTTGCATCTTGCCGTTTTAGGATACAAACTAGGAAGTAGGGATCTGAAAAAGGCTGGTGGGAGGGGTCACGGCCAATGCGCGCGTCCGCCGCTAGTCGGGTCCATCTATCGGTACAGTACATACAGTAACAGGAATGTAATTGAGAGCGCTGCGGGGACATGCCCAAAGAATTCCTCCAATTTCCATTTGATCGTCGGATCCGTTGACCTCTGCACATGAAATCTGAAAATCGACAATATCAATAAAAGTTCCGTGAGCACATTACGGGAACAAAGCGGCTATGAAAAATTCGAGTTTCCTTCAAATGCTGCCTCAAAAGTTGGTAGCAAAAAGATGAGAGGAAAACGGCGCAGGACATTCAAATGTGGATTATTTGGATATCCATTGCAAATCTATTGGAACGATTGGAACTTAGTCCGTTTACTCGCGTATTTCGGCAGATTATCCGGGTTATCAGTGTTAAAGTGCAGTCAAATACTTGCAAATAATAAAAATGGTGCTTGGTACTTTATTGTCAGTATATCACTTTATTAGTGACAGGCTGTCAGGAAGGAGAGAAAGAACTTTTATTATGATCAAACCTGATGGTGTTGAACGGGGATTGGTTGGAGAAATAATCAGACGATTTGAACGAAGAGGATTCAAGCTTCTTGCTATGAAATTTATGCAGGTATGTTCATGTTGATTTTCATTACTGCAAATTTGACGCGGAACCTTTCGGTGATAGTGAGCGGACTAAGAATTTTCAAGAATTGAATTATTGATATTCCTGTTCAACCTTTAAGTGCTCAGCATAGGTTTTACATGTTCTACCTTTTCTGTCATTCACAGTCATCTGTGCAGCATCTGCATCAGCACTATGAGGATCTGGCGGACAAACCGTTTTTTGCTGGCCTGGTGCAATACATGTCAAGTGGTCCTGTGGTGCCCATGGTCTGGGAGGGACAGGATGCTGTGCAGATCGGACGTGCCATGCTGGGAGAAACACGGCCTCAGGACTCGGCGCCAGGGACTATCCGGGGTGACTTTGCTCTCCAGGTTGGACGGTATGTTCCTTCTAGCTGCTGTGGAAAGCTATAACTAAGTGATATTAAGTAGTACCTAGGCATTTCTTGCAAATCTTTTTTTACATATTTATCTTTTATGTATTTGGGATTTAATTTCTGTGTCATTGCCTGCAGATGTAATGTGAACATTACATTATAGCACTCTCTCCCGCAGGAACATTGTTCACGGCTCCGACTCTGTGGCGTCGGCCGAGCGAGAAATCTGGCTCTGGTTCCGCTCACATGAGATCACCAATTGGGCTCCCTGCGACGAGTGCTGGATCAACGAAGAATGATGATCGGTGCGACACCTGCCGGAAAACGGTTGCGCTGTCGGGCGGAGCGCGGACAAACCATGACGACAATTGACGCCGATCGTTCGTGCCATGTTTGTTCGGCCAGTTTTGATAACTTTTTTTGTTTTTATACATTAAGCGATAATTTATAGTTTATACGACATGTTGCATATGTAAAATATAAAATGAAACAAGCTAACTTAGACAACTTACTAAGATCAGACAAACTGCACATGTCAACGAGCTTGAGAGCGATGAGGTACAACAATGCACTATTGTGAGTGTAGGTAAATACAGGCAAAACCAATGCAGATCGGTATACCGACTTAGTACAACTTGGTCCTGCATTTAATCTTTCATGGAAATGTATGTACAGCCCTCTGCAAACTGCGTGGTAGGTATTCTTTTTTCGACAAAACCGAGAATAACGCGAATACTATGCTAACGGTCACTCGGACATCGTAACAGCAAGACGCACGAGACTCCGCACCTTAGATTGGGCTTATTTTGGTATACATTTTCCATCTAGTTTGGCAACAACACACAAAAGTTTATATCCGCCCCCAAAACGAACTTTTGCATTTTGTTGCTACACCAGGCGTATACTTTGTTCCGTGATAGACCCAATCGAAGGAGTGGAGCATGGCGCATCTATATGCAATGAGATCCGACCGACTGATAACTTAGCCTTTGAGTTATTATCGGTTTTGGCGAAAAAAGAATACCTACCACGCAGTCTGCAGAGGGCTGTACCTACAGGGTGCGCAAAAAGTTCTGGCCCATTTCGGCTTCGATAAACGAGTGCAATCGGAGTGAATATTATCAAATCAACACTAACACCAAATACTGGCTTGCATTATCAAACCAGATACTTTCACTCGCCTCATGCGCGATATAACCCCCTTATCGGCAATGACCTCCACACGGAGGCGGAAAGACTAGCATGTCTAGATGATGTAGGTGGGGTCCTTCGTCTCCCACATCTTCACGATGTGTGCCTTCAGGGCCTCCAAATTGGGATGGGACACTCCCTGGACCTCATCCTGCAAAACGCTTTAGATGCTTTAGTCAAGGGGTTCAGGTCGGGTGGTCATTAAGCCCGCAATGGGCTTCTCCCCCGAGCTCCTCCGTTTGCTTGTGCTGGATGAAACTTGCGTTGTTTGCGGGTGTAGTGTCCTGCTGGAAAACGAAATCGACTTTTGGATACGTCTTTGGGATCCATGGGATGACGTCACTGTCAAGCAGCCACGCTAATACATCGTCCCGTTTATCTTCTAATTGGCATTGAAGACGGTTGGGCACTTTTTGCCGCCCGGGCAGTGGGCTGTCCTGGATGGCCTAAGACACGGCAGGCACATTTTTAGAGTTTTGACTGGACGTGACCGGTCTGACCTGAGGGCATCCTCCAGGATCTCCCCTATTCGTATTTGACTTTGACACGCGTAATTGTTCGCAGGGGGCTCCAGATTTCATCGCAACCTGCTCAACAGTCATGCCCGATTCGGCCGCCGCGCGCGGGTATTCAACGACAATGTGACGTTTAGCCTGCCTCCATGACTGGCCGTCAATGGTCTGCTTTGTTCGCCATCTGGCTGTGTAGCAGGATCATTGAAGATATTGCGTGCGGCTATTGGCTTCCCGAAAAGCAACCGCAGCACGCGTAGGAGCGCTTACTGTAAGAGGGCCAGAACTTTTTGCGCACCCTGTATGTTATCTCCATCCCATCAACTATATGTCCGGCAGGCTCTTGATCCGCCAGTGTCCACTCCATATAGTACACCACCATCCGGTAGGTAGAATGCAAATTCATAGGTGGCGGAAAGGGGGGGGGGGACCCGGACACCGTGCTCCCCTTTGATTTTGTCATTTTAACATTAGCCCTATGGGCATTGCATGGAATGAATGGGACCAAAAGTCGGCAGTGCGCCAGTGCCCCCGCTACTGGTGTTCCGCCGCTACTGTGCAGATCCTCATCGAAGAAGACCAATGCCGAGCGTCAAAGCAGTTTACATAAATTCACAAAATACAACTGCTGTCACTTGTTAAGATGGATCGGCAGATCAAAATATCAGCCTGAAAATTGAGCAGGTGTTGAGTATTGAGCCCGAAGCTGATCTCGCCCTACTAGGTACTCATTATAAACAAAACACGACAAGTTTGGGTGATACCGTCTCTGAAACGCGCCCTACCGTCCGACCAACGTCCGTCGATTGTCAAATTGCATTATCGGTCATTGATCCACGAAGTAAACCGGCTTCCGTTCCCACATGTTTTTTATTGTTAACTTGACTCATTCCTCAACCCAGGCACCTGACCGAAAGCCCATAGTTTGGCATTTGGTAAGAACTCGAGCAGAACAAGAACAAATCCACGATATGCACTGACCGCTGTAACTTCAACATACCACTACGAAACGTGTACCTATATTCGAATAAGAAATCGACAAACTCCTAATAATTCTAGCTTTTCTTCGGTGATAATGCTTTGATTAAAAAGATGTTCAAAAATGTCGAATGTCCTAATTTTTCTGAATATCATGACTTCTTTGGAATTTTGTTTTAGTGGTTGATTCTAACGAGTCAGCTGAAGATTTGCGCGGTTTCGTACGATAGTGATGACATTTTCTCAAAAAATGTTTTTAGCAATGAAAGGTATTTATGAAAACTGAAATAATTAATGTAACAAAAATGAAATTTTTAATCCTATCTTAATCTATGAACCAATTCATAGTAAATATATAAGAAGAGTGAAAAGTTAGTCAACACATTTGTCAACATGGCGGATTCGCTTGAAAGTAAATGTGGGGGACGGGCTTTCAAATGCGTATTTTGACCTGTAATTATGTTATATTGCTTTAATTGTTTCGTTTTTATTGTGTTCATGCAATGAGCATTCGTTTCCGTACCTTAAGCAGTTATTTTCGACCGCTAGACTTGAATTATTTCGCATGGTTTTTGTGGCATATATGGCTCGCCTGAATGCATTAAATTTGATTTGAATTTAACATGGTCATGTTCAGGAAAATTGGATTATATCTCTATAACCATATTACCATCATTTTCTCTGAACACAGGGAACAATATGCTGTTGTTGGTGGTGAAAGAGCTGGGGAATTATCCTGTAACAGTAATGCCGTTGAATGCTCACGGCTAACTCTGGTAGAGTGCTTTCAATTGAATCACTATTTTTAAATTAGTTAGGCACTTATCCAATATCTGGGTGGTTTTTATCCTGAGGACTAGTGAATTTTAGCAAATTTTATCTCTAGTTATTCTATTTCCCTTGCATCCTGAATGGCTTACTGAGATTGCTACATCTCCATTTCAAACTATTTCTCTCTCTCTCTCCATTCTTTTCAAATATTTTTCTTACAAATCAAACTAAACAATGTTTAACATATCAATGTTCTTTATGTTTATGCACAATCTCAGATCATTTGCAGATTTGCCTGCCAATTAGGTACCTACTTGCATTCACAATGAAATCAATATTATTAGTAATAATATTTTGCTCAATGCCAGTTTAAGCTCCTTTCTTTCATTTCACATATTATGTTACCCATTGGATCAATATTGATTTAACATTTAATAATTAATAGTGAAGTGGCATGTGTATTATTTTTATTGATTGTCTAACTCAAAAATGTTTTATATGAATTGACTTTTTGACATAGGATACTAGTCAAGTACCGTAAAACGGGGCTATAAGGGACAGTGGGGTTATAGGGGACAAATTTCGGGAAAAAGTTTTGAGGGATCTGGGTAATACAGTGAACGAGAAACAAAAGGAAATAGATATATAATATGAAACACTGATGTCTGGACATGCATGCCACATCACCATTTCCAAGACGCTTGTTGTTGTTCTCATGCTATGAGCTTTTGAAAAAAGTGCCAAATTCGCAACAAAATTGTAACCCCGAAAACTTTGCTTGTGGAAACACAACCACGGACTCTGGGACCTTCACAAAGGTATAGTCAATGACCACATGTATCCTGAAGATGCCCATGAAATTACATCCATGTACCCTCCTTGCCTCATCCTCATTTCCGTTTTTTTTTCTGTTTCAGGTAGATTTTGATGTCAAAACGGGGCTTTAAGGGACACCGTCATTACCAGTCAAAGCGAGGAGTTAAAACAAGGAAAACATATTCGAAAGATGTAATCATGAAAGCTGTGGATGCAGTGAACAGAGGGATGCCTTTCAGGGTAGCTGAGCAGAAGTTTGGGATCCCAAAAAGTGTCATGTAGGCACAATAAGGCACCTGCTACCTGAAAACCGGGCCATCCCACATTCCTTGGAGAGGACAGAGGATGTCCTGTGGTGTACCCCTTCTCAGACATTGTGCAAAAGATCCAAGAACCCAAATACCTCACCAGGGGAATCATGGAAATCAAAGAGGTCAAGGAATACAATGAGTGAGCTGATATCAAACACCTCCAGCTCCAAGGAGCTGCCAGAGACTCTCTGCAGTCTTCTGGTGGATGGTGTTCTGGAGTTCAGAATGGCAGGAGAATGCCTCATTATCAAGTGGTTGTACTCATATCATTTGTGTTTGGATAATAACACATTATTATGTTTCCATATTTGAGTTTCCTTTATGGTATTTATGTTGAAAAAGGAAGTTACCTTTTCCGTCCTCCATTGGAAACTTTGATGGATGCCAATCCATTGTATGTGCACTTAAAAAACAAATATTTTGCACAGGAAAGCAGTAAACATTTTTAAAAACATAGTCTGTGTCCCTTAAAGCCCATTTGATGGTGCTACTAGAGTTTAAAAGGCCATAACAGTGCTCGTCCCTTAAAACCCCGGTGCGGGGCTATAAGGGACAAGCAACAAAAATAAAAAAAATCATACATCTATGATACCAATAAAATGCATATTATGCCAAAAGACAGACCTAGTCAAGACCTGAAAAGTGACAAAGTTTGAAGCCTGTGTAAGCAATAACCTTTGAATGACAGGTTGTCAAAGTCAAAACCTGTCCCTTATAGCCCCGTTTTACGGTAGGTGATATTAATTGCTTTATCAGTGGTTGTAATGATAATAAAATTTAAAATCAGAACTGTTTATCAGCCAGTATTTGCTCATTTGTTCCTGTTCATTTTTGGTTCTTGAGTGTACATTCCATAAATTGTGTAATTATTTTTCATTTTCAGGTGAATCTGCCCAGGCTTTACTAACCATCAAGAATG